CATGGTGTAGGATTCTAGGGGGATAGGGTTGTCATGAGTTTCAACATCAAGAAGCGCCACTTTCTTCTGGCCAGTGTAATCATATATATATATAATATGTTGTTTCCTCCCTGGGAGCAGCGTGAAGGGTTCTGTTGAAAAGACCAGCTATTTGGAGGCCTACTTCTTCTACATGTCTACTTCTACATTTGCAACTTCTACTAGTAGATTTGTAATACTTTCTACATGTTTGCATATAGTACACATGCACAGTACAGATGTATACTATTGCTGTGCAGCTTGCGTGTTCGCTGGCTATCTACTCGTAGCATGTGTAGAAGTGCACATACAGATTTTCGCTGGATACTGAGAAGATCTGAGCTACCCTGCTGCTATGTTTTATCTGTAAGTCCTTGCCAAGCGCGACCCTTTGCGTGGCTTGTGTCATTGGTTCGTTTATTGGCATTGCTTACTCGCAGCCTTTTTTCAAGTTTATACTTGAGCTAAGTGACTCAACCACATGCACGCCTACGGCACGCATCACACACACATTCCACACACACACATTGAGGCACACCACTAACACCGCATAACACCGCAACGCATTTGCATTATTATCCGACAATCTTTTTCTCCCGTTACACGCCTTCTGTTTTCGGCTCTTTTCTGTAGCGATGGCTTTGTTTTGGTGCGACGTATCGGACGACGGCATGTGGGCTTTGGAGGCGAGGCAGTGTCATACCTGGAAAAACGACAGATTGGGTAGGTCATTCGCCTGATGGCAGGAACTCGCAAAGATTAGAGGTACCGACGAGGCTGGGCACTTAGCGGTTTGAGGCCACTGTGCTACCTGAACTTGGAATTTTCATGTATGCGGGCCCGCCCCTAGTCATTTTTGTGAGGGCACGTCCCCTATATATAAACACGGCTCTGGCTTCGCCGACGCGCTCAACAGGCAACGCTGGAAGGTCCCGGGGGTTGGAGTTTATGGAAGGAAGCAAAAAAAGAAGCAGTGGGCACGCGTTGCAGCCTCAGCCCAGAAAAGTTGACCATATGTTGTTCAGTTGGCTGCAGCCTCGTCTTACTCCAGGTGATACCATCTTATACTCGTACACGGCATTTTACGACACAGGTGCTACGCTTCAATTTTGAGACGACAAGGTGCGCACAGTCGACTTTGAAAAAATCCAAACCTTGTCTGTATCAGGCGCGCAAGAAGCCCACCACCAGTCCAAAACGGGCAGAGACAAAGAGGGCCCGACCCCAGGAGTGGGTATTGCTGTTTTTGAGGGTCCCTGTTCTTTCATTCATTGGCTCCTGTCATGCCGGGTCCTTTTGGCAGGAACGCCCACGGACCATTTCATCATGTTGGCCCACTCCGGCTGGCCGGTTCGAACCGGTCGGGCGCCGCAGACACAATCCGTTCACCCCATGCCTGTCAACTTTTCAGACATGATGCCTGAGGCCCCCGCCAGACGACTGTCCGAGCCGCCCGGGCCTCTACCGAGAACCAGCCCATTTATGTTTCACGTCCGGCTTTGTTAGACACCAGACGCGCGCTTCATGAAGAAGCACACCAGGCAAGGCCTGGCCAGGGAGAGGGCAACCGGCCCGGGCCCGAATCTGTCCGACCGGGTTTGCATCCTGCGTCAAGGACCCCAACAATGGCCACGTGGACGTCGGCTGGAAACGTTTGGCGCCCAGAAGCAGCCCCCCTCGTGTGTATCAGTTGCTCACTCACAGGTGAGGGTTTTTGACGATTCGTCCGGTGTGCGGTGAGCCCTGTGCGGGGATCCTGCACAGCGGGTGCCCTGGCTCTAACGTGACAGTTTGTGACAATGAGGCTGCGCGTGTGAACTGATAGCTGAGTGATGGCGACAGCTGCGCGCTGCCGTTGAGATCCCGCAGGAAGTCAGTGGCACAGCCCGCCCCAGCCCGCCCAAAAAGATGACCTCATCGCAGCGCTGGAGCATTTGTCATTTGATGCCTGGAAATGCGGTTTGTTGGCCAGATATGGCCTTTAGTGATTGCTTTGTCTCATGCTGTTTGTTGTTAGCCCCTTGCAATCAATGTGCGGGTGCTCCTGCGTCGAGCGCCGGATGGCCTGGAGTTCGTGAGCGCCGGATGTAAAGACGTGGAGCTACTTTACTATGCGGCCTTTACTACACGAGCCTGCGCATATAGATATGATGGAGTGATACTTTGCTGCGTGGCCTTGAACGTGCGTTTGCGCAGATGAAGGTAGCGCGTAGTTCGCGCGCATGGTCGGGTTACTTGTGTTTGTGCGCACGCAGGCAGCGCATACTTCGCACTGGAACCGGCGTCGAAGACAAACTGCAGTGCGCAGCTGTGTGTCCCTATACACTTTGTTCTTGCAGCGCTGCCTAGTAGCCTACAAGGCAGCGCAGGCAGATATGATCCAAGATAATGTGAGGAGCTTCTCACATGTCACTTGCCATGCACTTCCACCTCAGGGGTTGGCGTTTCACTTTGTCTTCGGCCTTCGAGTAGCGTAGTTGCACAGTAGTATATGTTTGCAGCACTTGTGGATCTCGAAGGAATTTCTCACAGTTGCTCCTTTTCCCATTAGTGTGTGCAACATCGTGCACCACTATATGCATTTTTATGCCTGCGTGGCGTGGCCCACCAAGTTGACTTTACCTTTGCGCACAAGGCAGTGGCACTGAGGCTGTCGCTCGCTTTCAGTCGTCCCCTCCGCGCAATGAGTCTGCGCAAACCATGGGTCTCTTTTTTGATGCAGCGCCCCAAGTGATGCACTGGAGACAACAGTGTTTTGAAGCAGATCGGAGCCATGGCAGCCAGCCTCCACTTCTTACACGTCAACGTCAACACGTCAACACTGCCACAGCCTGCAGTATCTATGTTCATTTTTCATGTGCTCATAACCTACAAAGCCTAAACCCCTTTCCATCCACACAGTTTGTTCCTGCCAGGTGCCGACTACATGCTGCTGCCCCCCTCACCCTTGCCCGCCCGCTCGTACGTGTGCACGTATGTTTGCGCAACCGGCACAACCTTTGCACGCGACACATGCGCAACAGTAGATATGAATTCTGAATGAACTTTACATAATTTTGCACACTTTGCTGCTAGGGTGTTTGCATGTCTACATTGCGCCGTGCGCTCACAATTTCTTTCATACACACACTCTCTGTGCCCACGGGCCACCCGTCGTCTAGTTCAACTGATGAGACCCAAAGGAAGGTGCCACCCTGATTGCAATACTGGTGAGCGTGTGCTTGACAGGAAGACTTTGGCGTGGTCATTTCTATTCTGCTTTGTGATCATGACAGTGTGGGCGATGCTTATGGTCGAGTTAGTGCGACTTGGCTAAGTTCATGTGCGTTTTTCCTACCACAGCATCTCAACAAAATGTACTGTGACAACTGCTAATCATACTGCCATAACATGTTGCAGGGCATTGGTGAGGCAACAGTGATTGCAAACTTCCAGTCAAACATGCGCATAGTGGTCGGAACCGTTTTATTATGTTCTATTTTTGTGGGGCTGCCACGGTTACCGGTATATTGAAATCTGAAAGAAACATGTTCGAGGGAAACGCCACATCAATTGTATTTTTGTTCAACGGTTTTGGTGTGAACCCATTTTGATTTTGGTGCTGTTCCAACTTACAGTATATCAACACTATGTTGCGCACACCACTTTGGACCCTGTTTTTTTGGGTGCTTCACAATGTTTCCATAGGCCAGGGCCAGGGCCGCTGGTAAATCAGGATAATGCACCGAACACTGGACAAATTTCAAAGCATTTGGCACGAATCGAACGTGAATGTCCCGAACGTACGCGTGGGAGGAAAAAACATTTGTGTTCCATGATTCCACATTCCTTCCAATATAGTGGTAGATAAAAACTTATTTGGAAAATATTGGTTGGATGCGTTCTAAGCACCAGAGTGGGAACACAAATTAGAACGTGGGTTTAGGACTCAGACTCAAAGACCACACACACACTTAGAACCACAGACTAAGAACATGTGGATGTTAAACATCATGTTCATTCTTGGAAATCAATAAATACACACGTTTGCACAATCAGTTTTGGAGAGTGCAAATGAACGCAAAAAAAAGGAGGTGATGGTTATCGAAGCGTTGCGTGCACATTAAATCATTAACCTGGTGACATCTAGAGGGGAAAAAACAACATCGCCCTTGTTTCTGGGGTTTGCTAGCGTATTTTTTGTAAGCCAGGTCGGTATGGCGTGCACGGCCTTATTTGGCACATTGCCGATGCGTCGATGTGCTTATAGCGCCGAAAACCAAGAAAACATCATCTGAGGCATCCACTCATTGGAGAAATCTACAAAGAGAATAGCACATTTGCGGAGGAGTGGGAACTACGTGGATGTTGTGTTAAGGAAAATAACAACAAGATGCAACAACAGTTGTGACGAAAACACATCAGTAATTGCAGAATTTAGCAATTTGTCATTGTCACAACTACTCATTAGGCCAGGTGTGGCCAGGTCCGTTTGGACTCCTTTGTGAACTAGTAAGCCGAACGTGGTCGTGACCAGGTGTCGCAGTGCCAACTCAACCTGGTATACTGTTTTACGGGCCAGGTTCCAATGAGTGTGAAGGGATGATCCTATTTATGAACGGTTTTGTTTCTGGGAAGAAGATCAACGCAATAACATCAAAGCAACTGACTATCCTGCTGGTTTAGTGGATGAGTGGTTGGTTTAGTGGATGAGTGGTTTGCGCTTCTGTTTTCGGCTGCCGGCAAGGCACGAACCATTTCCCAGATACAGGGAAGGAAGAAACAATTAACGATGATGAAAAACATCAGCAGCCCACAGAGGTGTTTTCAAAGGAACTACATTTTCGTTAGGTTTCTGGGATTCAACAATCCTAAATATGCCCAACATCCACGAACCACAAAGTCGCGCATGTGGGAAGGAGTGTCCTCAATGCATTTCAGCAGCTAGCTCTGTGATGCATGCGAATCTGTTGCTCTTCAAGACAGTGATTGCGGGTGATAGTTGGGGGTTGAGACTTGGCAAGAGAATTATACGCTGGTTTCACCCGCGCTGGAGCCAGGCAATCAAGAACTATCATAAACTACCTTGAAGGCTATAATATCTAAGAGACCTGAATTAGTAGACTTTGCAATACTTTGCATTTGTTCAGACACATTGTGGGTGTTTGAGGTGTTTGTATGTATTATATATGTTCGATTGGCAATTGGTTGTCGGATCTTTGCCTCACAGAAAGAATCGTTTGTGTAGTCACTACCTGAACCGTGAGTCACTCGCCTTAAACCCGTCGCCGGGTTCGTCCTTGGTCGTGAGCTTTCGAATGAATTCATCCTGGTGGGCTCCATCAGCCTTTGGTGTGGCTTCAGTATGGGATGCCCTTCAGACGGATACATGGATGTACCGATGTACCAAATAATAGCCTTTTGGGGAGAAAAGAGCCAGAAACCTTTGTTTTGTTTGTCCCAGATAGACGGCCAGATCAGTTCAGTTTTTCTATCAATGACACAGACACAGCCAAATAAATTGTTGATAATTGTTGTTTGTCCCGGGCCGAAGAAAGCGTGAAGCTTCTTCGAAGTGAGGATCGCGGTGCCGGTGATAGAGCGCTATCCCGCCACGGCCTTGATTTTCATGGGCTCCCAATTAACCATCGTCTTCGGAGTCTTGAACCTCATCGCTGGGGCGCCCAACGTCAGACCAGACGTCAGACCAGACGGGCCAGAAAGGATGGGGTTTGGGTTCGTCCGGGGTCCGGGTCTGACACTGTGTTTGCGACGTCTCACTGGTAATTAGTCATTAGACCAATTGTATGTGGTATAATTAGGATAGTTGTTTGGTGTTTGCAGATGATGTGCAAGTGAAGAATCAACCACTTTTGTTTGTATTTCTAGTCACAAATCTGTTTACCAGTGGTGCCAAAGATCAAAACTGAGAGCAAACATGAGGGTGGCATCTACGGTACAACATGTTTCTTGTTGCTGCAAGCCTGGTGCTTCAGTTGCAAAAGGCTCGTCATGGCCCGAATCATTATATAACCCTTTGATCACTGAGCATGGTCTACAGTGGGCGCACCTAATGAGCGCTGATGGTTTCATTTTGGATTCTGCGGACAAGCAACTATAAAACATAGTACCAAATGTCATATGTTCGGTGTCACACGTGGTTCACAGGCGGCTACAATCTTTTTAAGTCGAAGCCTAGAGACCGCTGAGAGGCTATGAACTATGAGATGGATGTGGCCAACAGGGTGGGGGGAATGCAGCCCTTCTTGCAAAGGACAAAATAGAGCTACTGTAAAACTGTGGCTATGGTTGCCTTGGTACGGACCAAATCTGCCAGGCTACCATATTGCCCTTTGACCTCCACTCACATTTTTCCCACATAGGGAGAGTCAGAAGGTATTTGTGTCAAGCATGAGTGGAATCGAACATGGCCAAAGGAACTTCAATGGATTGAAGGGAGTTTGCCGCAGTCTCAGCTTGGTGGCTTTCAAGCTGCTTTTGCATGCAAGAAGCTGGAGAGATCACGTTTCCTGGCAAGACCCTACTCCATAAAAGTGCACTTGGAAAGCCATGGTGAAATTCAAGTGTGTTCCCCTCTCAGAATATTTTAGCAGCGCTTGCAAAAGTTGTTTCTCATTACCCTTTGTTGATGGCACTCAGCCATGCAAGCCTTGGCCATTTCATCGTATGTACAAGACACTTTCTTGCCGACGCTGGTCCGGTAGTCTTGTGCCAATGGCATGGCGGGCATTCGACCGATCCTCATCCTGCTCACAGGGATTGGCATTGGAATGCTGGCGCCTCAACTCTCCTTGAATGAGGTCAAGCCAGTTTGGACTCCGGCCACAGAGTGTTACTGCCCGCAGACGCCAAACGAGTCCACTGCAGCTGTGGAAAAGTTGGAGAAGCCAGAAGAGGTGAAGGAAAGGTACACGAAAAAAGATGACAAAAGTGTTTGCTTCTTGCGTTGTCCGCCGGCCTGGACAGGGTTGACAGACCCCAAGTCCTACAGGAGGTCCTGGTATGTCTACATAGTAACATTCACCCTTGTTTGTGATCCAACTACCTCCCAAGCTTCTGCTTAACGTAAGCTTGACCCTCCAAACCGTTTTCACACCAAACGAGAGGACTTGTCAAGGTCGTTTTGCTTGGATATGAGAATCTTTAAGGACCTTTTGTTGGGCTCGGGGCTCGGGTTTCGGCGAGTTCGGGTTTCCCCACTGCACGGCCTTCACCAACGGAGCCATCGAGGAGACACCGCCGCCGACGAACACTGAAGCGATCGCATCCGATGCTGGAAGCAGCACGGCCACCCTGGCGGAGGTACCCACGTCGGGGAAGGAGGAGGTCCAGCTGACGGTAGATCCTCAGATTTACTTGAGAAGATTTGATAGATCGTTGCTGGTGTATATATAGATAGATAATGTCAAGTCAGGATTAGTAAATCCCCCTAGTTAATCTGAGCCCACAAAGCCGCCGGAAATTGCCCAAATTAAAAGTATTATTGGCTGTTGATTTCCCCCCCTATGGTCTAGTTTTCTACCAACAATCCCCCCCAGTTAATCCGAGCCCACAACCAGGTCAATTGTTCGTATTGCTACTACTACTACTGCTACTACTACTGCTGCTGCTGCTACTGCTACTGCTACTACTACTACTACTACTACTACTCCTGCTGCTGCTGCTGCTACTGCTGCTGCTGCTGCTACTGCTACTAGCTATTGCTGCTGCTGCTGCTACTGCTGCTGCTGCTGCTCCTGCTACTGCTACTGCTACTGCTACTACCACGACCAACACCACCACCACCACCACCACCATCACCACCTACTGCCTACTACATGTTTGATGAAATCCTTAAAAATGTCTAGGGCTCAGGGCCTATAAATTGCCTTATTAAAAACAATGAAAAAATCATTTGACAAGCTCACAAAGGGTACCCCTCACAAGGGCCGGTCCCCCATCAATAATCTGCACTACTACCCCCTATTAATTTGATCCTGTGTCCCTGGCCTTTTCTTTGCGCTTGTTTAAACTTGTTGTGACTACTACTACTACTACTACGACTACCACTACCTACTACCTACTACCTACTACCTACTACCTACTACCACCTACTACCTACTACCACCTACTACCTAC